TATATATATATATATATATATATATATATATATATATATATATAAATACATTTACTGATTTTATATCCACCTTTATCACCTTCTTCATCATCTCAACAGACTTCCGGTTTCTTCGAGGTTTTATAATCATGTAATATCTGTTATGTAGGTACTTGACCAGTAAACCAGTAAACTATCTACCTTAGGACCACCGACACTACTAAAAATTATTATAATAATGAATTTAAATTTTTTTATTAACGAGGTGCCTGAGAATTTATAAACGCGCTTGTATTATTATTATTTTTTTTTAAACTAGCTCTTATATATTAATTTTAATTCCCTCAACAACTCAATGGGCTACGGGGTAAGGCAATAATAATAATAATCTAGACGTGTGGTGTGTTGTATATTGCTAGTACAAGAGTGCACTACCTTAGGTAGAATCTGTTGCAGGAAGTGACAAGATCCCTACCCGTGAGTAGGCTATAAAATGACTGAGGGAAAAACTCAAGGAGACTATCTCACCTTTTTGAGTTAATTAGTTCTTTACACGACGTTGTTACCTTGTGATAATCTTAAAGGGCTTATTTAATGGGCACATGCATCACGTTAATAAAAACCCGCGACAGATTTACGTAATTGCCCGATTTTTATCCGTGGAATTTCTTAATGTGAGAATACGCCTTTGAGATTTTCATCGCCGAGTTCTCTTTGTTTTGTTATTTATTTATTTATTTATTTATTTATCTAAACGCCTATCGGCGTTATACAGCATTTTATAATTTTAACTAGAGTAAAAATTGTAAATGTGATATACTATTAGCAACCTTGCAGTCAGTATGTGACTTCCGTGACTTGTGAACTATAAATAAAATTTTGCGTTATTAAATAATGATTTTTGGTTAATGGAACTATACTTTCTTAAATATTGATGTTATTGAAGGTATAAGCTCATCTTGATGTTAGGCTCATCAAGAGCTTTTATTTGAGTACCCACATGTATTTTTGATATATTTTTCATATATACATATATATAAATGTATGTAAATATATGAAAAATTGATGTGGGTACTCAAATGAAAGGTCTCGATGAGTGTAATGTCAGGGTGAGCTTATATCTTTAAAAATGTCAATAGTTCACGTGATACAAGGTCATTTCTTAATTATTGACATTTTTAAAGATATAAGCTCATCCTGATATTATACTCATCAAGACCTTCCATTTGCGTACCCA